CCCCAAAACCCCAAAACCCCAAAACCCCTTATATCTACATAAAGTTTAAAATAAAGTTAAATTAATGCTAAAATTAAAAATAAAGGTGACTTAATAAAGAGATTCATACCTGATTTTAAACTGACTGCGAAACATCTATAATGCTTCAGAATATTTCATTTAATTTGATTTGGGTGATTGAAAGCATAATAATCTACTGAATGTTGCTCAAGTAAAGAGCTATTAGGAGTGTTTATCATGTCAATTTGTTTCTATTGCTTATTTTATTAATAGAACTTGACACTATTTTCTCTTTATATAACAGCCTGAACATCATGATTTTCATTGTCAATAGATTCATCAAGATTAGAAGTAGAGCAATCTCCAATTGAATTCTATCTTTTAGTAAATATGTAATTTCTCTGCATCAATATTGACCACTTAATTGATTAAGATAATGCAATTATAACCATAGTGTCAGATATTGTCACTAAGATATTTGTAATGAAAAGCATGCTTTCTCTATTATCCTCGATGTATTCTTTATTAAAAGCGAATTCAAATATGAAGTCGAATTAAGGCAAAAGCTTAATGACGTTTGATACAATCATAAAAATGAAGAGTGCCATCAAATGATTTCTTATTTTGGTTAATGAGCATGTTTCTTCGAAAGTACCAACTGCTCTAGATATTGCTATTAGTCTTCTGTAGTAAATGTAGAAATAGATCATACAATAACAATAGGTTATTATTACAACTATGCTTATTGAAATCAGAAGTGAACTTGTAGCTGTAATAAAAGTAAGTGAAAATGTAAAAACCTAAACATCTTCTATGTAGGATTGTAGTGTTTCGATAATGATATATACTATCAAATATGTGCTCATAAGAATAAAGAATGCTCTTATAAATTTACTTTAACTTTTATTAGAATACAATTGGGCTAGTCTTTACCACTACAAAGTATTTATCATAAGTGTCAGAGTAAGAAGTTTTTATAAAAAGGTAGAGCATTAACTATACATTGAAGTGTAAGTCTCAACTGATTCTATTTTATCCTTTAAAGCTACCATAGTATCCATTCCATCTTTTTAAATGCATTCTATCGAAATTATTCGAAATATAATTTTGTAGACAACTCCAAATAGTACAAGAAAATAAATCACAACATTGTGGTAGTCTCTCTTATTTTCAATCATAAAAGAATATCTCTTGACATATATACTGAAGAAACAGAGTAATATTATGTAAATGGACACTATTATCCAATCTATTGTAACATAACTATTATTATCCATTAATAAACAAATTAATCTTATATTAATCAATATATATCTTTATAATAATTCTGCTACTTCACTTTGCTAATAATAAGTAATATAACTGATTCTCAATTGCTTAAATTATTGATAATCATGGGGTTTTGGGGTTTTGGGG